TTGTTTGTTTGTTTGTTTTGTTGCTATTTTGTTGTTTTGGGATTTTTTTTTGTTTTTGTTTGTTTGTTAGTAATAAATCCTTTTTGATAGTTTAAGGTCCTAAGGGGAAAGTTGCCAGTTGATGATCAAGTCTGAGACAAAGATGATCCATAATAAAGAGAGGCAATGGGAGCATCATTTTTGGCTCAAGGCCATAGATGGAGGATGGTTTGACTGACAAGAAATGAAGGATGATACAAGTTTTCTAATACAATTACTTCTATATGGCATGATTACAACCTTAACAGATCTTTTTAATATATCCTTATTAGTTTAACTTATCAGGTACAAATTATGTAGCACTTGATCTAAGAGAACCAGTGCCTTTGTGACCAGACACTATATAAAAAATGAATAGCACATTATTTTAAGTCAGCCTCTCAACCACCCTCTGCAGGAAGCAGAGTTGAAGACACCAAGGTTCAAATACATTAACTAACTTGGTCATGCCATTGGAGCCTCAAGCAGCCATAAAACTATAAGACAGATTTGAGAGGGATTTTGTCCTCGAATTACTTAAAATCCTCTATAGTAGATTAATTGTTATACAAGCAAATTAGAATAAACTAGCATTGATGAGGTAAAGCAAAAGTTTGCGAAAGTTCAAAGGAGAAAGAGTGTAGTTCAAATAAGGGTCTATGAAATACTTTTGGAGAAGAGGGCACTGAGGACGGGGCAGAGTGGAAACAGCAGGGTACAGATGCTCACCCTTGTGTCGCTTTCTAGGAAGCTGAGATTAGAAGAGTGTAGGGGATCACCCAAGGTTTCATAGCTGGCTAGAAGTGACATTAAATACAAGGAAGGTCTTTGGGCGTCAGACAGAAATGGAGTGGGAGTCACATAAATTAATGGCATAGGGAGAAACCAGAACTTTGCTGTGGAGATCTGTGTAAGAAGTGGCATGTGGCTGTGGAACCGAGACTTTCTCTCTTCTGCTCTAGAAAACATGACAGTGTCTTCTGTTCGTCTCTTTTTGAATCTGTTCCATGCTTTTTTGTTATATAAGACTTAGGTCACATTAACTATCAATCTCTTTAGAAACTACAATTAAATATCTGCCAACTTAAAGACTCTTATATTTGTCTTTTGGAATCACACACTGGATAATGCGATTGCTGAGAATCCAATTTGTGTTGTTATATTTATTTTCAACTGCTTGCCTGGATGCTAGGCTGCAAGGTCCTGGATGCTTTGGATGTTTAGGTCTTTGGGTGTTGGAAATGGACTTGGGAGTCATGTACATAACTACTCACATGAAATTTGATTTGCATTCTGGGGTTTGGATAATTCATTTTTACCATTGCTTAGGAACAGTCTTTACTTTTATTTTTTCTATTTCTTTCTACTTCAGTTTAGTCTAAAGATAAATGTTAGTGCAAATCAAACACATTTGAATGTGTCATCTGAGTGTTTTATAATTTTCACTTCAGTAATGAATACATTAATTTCCACTTCCTTTCTACTTACTAATTGCAATACATAAATCAGGTCTGCCCTGCTTCTAAAAATAAAATTAACTTACCCTTTAATTTAAAGATAGTGGGTTTCAAGATGCTCTTCTAATCATAGGTACATTTTCTAGATGTGGTCATGAGAGGGATACTTATTTCCATTTTCATCATTTGACTTTCTCGTTTCATTCTCTTATATATCTGTTCTTTAACCTCATAAAACCTTCCAGTTCCCTTTCCTCCATTTCTGTCCTCATTTCTCTTCCCCTCCCCCCAAATCTGGACCCCATACTAGATTTCAGTTTCCTAACAACCTATTCAGAGGAATAATAGGTATGGTGCTTTCTCCTGTGTCTTTCCCTTCTTCAATAGCTGATAGAAACCAGAGAGAAACACAGAACTGAGAACACTGAGGCCATGAAAAAGTCACATTTCCTAATCAACTCCACCCTAAACCCTCACCTCTCTCTTTCAACCACTTAGTGACTGACCCCACCATTTCAGCTAACTTTTCTTACCTTCTGCCTCATTAAGAAACTGAAGGAATCAGCCATGGCTTCTATTAGTCTTCTATAAAAACATATAAATCCACATGTCATCTGGTCTTTTCTTCCTCTTGGAATGAGGGAGCCAGGGGTTTTCATTCAATACCATATTCTCCACTTAAGCCGTCGACTCCTTCCTGCCTGCCTCTTCCAAGATCCTTCTCCACAACATTCCTTTTCTTTCCAATATCTTTTAATTTTTCATTCTTTTTGATTTACCTTTTTGGGCATAATAACTCTATATGAAAAGAACATTTCTTTGGGCTGGGAACTGTAGCTCAGTGGCAGAGCACTTGCCTAGCATATATGAGTCACTGGGTTTTATCCTCAACACCACATAAAAATAAACAAATAAAGGCATTCTGTCCATTCATAATAACAAACAAAAATCGAAAAAAGAACATTTTCTTTATATCTCTGTATATCCCTCAAATCACTGAAATTTTTGTGCCATCATTAATAGCCACGTTGGTACTAGTTGGTACTACACATGGTCTTTTCATGTCAAATCTGTTTTTCAGGTCTTATCTTCTTAAATCCCTTGGTAGTGTTGATAACTTTATTACTGTTTTTGACCCTACACTTCTTAGTTAGCCAGGTCGTAGATTCTCCAAATGGGGTCCCTCCTCTCCTCATTGGATATTCTGCCTAGATCACTGTGTCCACCTTCATGGATTCATTTTCATCCTGTGATAAGGACTTCTGTTTCTAAACATCAGGCCCATTCTTCTGCCTAAAGTTTAAGATTTATTAAACAGGCAAATTTACTTTTTATATATCCATAGGTACCTCAAACTCCACATGCAACTCAGCATCTCCTTCCTCGCCAAGCCAAATTTTCAAACTGTCTTCAGTGGAATCATCAGTCCCTCTGTTCAAAAAAGCTGGAAACATGCTTGACTATTTCATTTCTCTCCAACAGTAACAAACCCATACTTATTTAACCCTTTTCACTAATGATTTAATTTGTCTCCAACTTCTCCACCCATGCTGATTCTATGCTACTATTATCTTAGTTCGGTTGGTAAAATAACCTCTTAAATAACCCACTTTTGCCTTGAACTGTCATGCTATATAAATCCTTCCTCCATAGATCTTCCAAATGGATCAATGCAGAGCATATTCTAAATGTGTGTCCATCTCATGCATTAAATCCTTTAATAGCATGGGGGTAGATATACTACCCTACATATATGATAAAATTGTATAGAATAAAATTCACACCATACAATGAGTATAAGACTAAGGATTTCTAAATAAGATTGGTGGATTTTTATCAATGTCATTATCATGTAGTGATATGTATGATAGTTTTACAAGATGTTGCCCTTGGGAAAACTGGCTAAAAGATACAAGACACCTCTCTGTGTTTTTATTTATTATAACTACATGCAAATATACAGCTATCTCAAAAAGTTCATTTAAATATATCTTTCAATACAAGTATTGAATTATATAAATACTTTTTAAGATAGCATCTGTTTCTACATTTCTCTCTTGCTCCATCCTGCAGCATTATCTGTTCCAAACTTTTGTACCTTACTAACATAGAGTCACTTGACATTTTCTCACATTCACCAAACTATTTTCCATTTTAGTATTTTGTTTATGCTATTGCTACACAATGCCCACTCCATACCTTTGGTTCTTACCTGGCCTGGCTAGTTGCTCCTCCTCATCTGATAATTTCCTTGGTCCTGCAGATAAGGTTATATATTCAATTTTTATGTTTTCCCAGTACCAGCTATACTGTTAACCATTTTATCAGAGGCTTGTTTTCCTGCCTTATTTCTACACTGTGACTTCCCAGAGGTGTGAGACGTTCCTGATTCACTTTTTATTTCTAATATCCATGATGCTTCCTGGAAAATAATAGGTGTTCTCTATATGTAATTTGAGCAGATGAATGCACTGTTTCAGGTAGCTTAGAAATCATTATAAATAAATCCAATATTATTATCTTCTCTTACTAGACCGTAACATATATTTGAAAATTTAAGATGATGATTAACTGTCTTAGGATACTACGACTCTTTATAATATGAGCAATAATGATTAAAAGCTTAGCTAATTTTGTCCTGGGGTAAAAATCAGTCCACTGATCATTGCAGTTAATCACTACTAAGATGATTTGCACATAAATATTCAGATGTAAATATTCGGATTTGGAGACTGCGTTACCTGAGAAACCTGGTGTTTCACTTCAGATGTGTGGGAGTGAGAGTTTAAAAAAAATACTTAAGTAAAAAAATATGAAGATCCAGGAGCAAAATGAAGCAAACAAAAATGTTATTAATTTGCAAAGTGTTCAATTGCTTGCTTATCCCTTTTTCTAACATAGAATTCTAAACTCCAATTTAGAAATACCACCTACACACACACACACACACACACACACACACACACACATCAAAGGAGCTAGTGATTAAAAGTGAAAGTTTCCGTCCAGAAGTTTGAGTTTATTGTCCTTGAGTGTGATGCTAAGATTTTAGTTATGAGAGGGATGATTAACCTGAAGTTGAAGTTCTCTGAGCTATTTTGTATTTTCTGATTCTACTTCTTAGCTGCTGGATGCAGGATAAGCAGTTGAGACACTTATAAAATGGGTTTAATGATAGGTCAGATTTGCTGTCAAATTTAATGAGGGAATGTTTATTTTCTTTTTGAAATCTGCAGAACACAGATGTTGGATCAGGGAACGATAGCACATAATAACATTATTAATTAAGAAAGACAAATTTGATAAAAGGCTTGATTGTCTAGCATGGGAAGTCTGTCTGATTTTATAGCCAAATGGATCCACAGTGCTTCCTAAAGAAACATCATTGTGCAACTCGAAAAATGTACTATGTATACCTGTGTGAATTTAGACTTCCTTGATGTTTTGATACAATATGCTTTAATTTAAATATCCTATATCAAAAATGCAGAAATATAATCCTAGCTTTACTTTTGTCCTTTTAAGCTTTGTAGAAACCCCAGCGCATTTCTCTTGGAAAGAAAGTTATTACCGATCCACCATGTCCCAGAGCACACAGACAAGTGAATTCCTCAGTCCAGAGGTTTTCCAGCATATCTGGGATTTTCTGGAACAGTAAGTATCAAATAAGCAAGATTACATTGTATTTGAACCATTAAATATAGGTAAATGTGGATAGTGCAAACATAACTCACTAGGGTGTGTTTCTAGAATTAGTAAAAAATTAATGTTGTCAGGAAAATTACTTGCCTCCAATATTATCTCTGTGTTCAAACCCTGTGGTTGTTTGTTCAGTTTCCAATACCAAAAGATCATTATTATTCTAAAGAGAGAAATTTTTGGAAAATCTAAAAAGATCTCCTGAATTACCCAAAATCGCTTCTGTAGTGTCTCTCTAATGCTCAAAATCTACTCCTTTGTCTTGAAGACTTATCCAATGTTACAAAGTAGTTATTGCCTGGAAAGGTAAAACGCCCAATTTTGTTGATCATTATTATCTTGCTATGAAAAATATTACTAGTTTTTTATTAAAAGCAGGTTTGAATAAGTGGAAAAAATAAAGAAGTAGTTGAAGAGAATACCAGAGCACTGAGGACATGCAGGATAGGGTATAAAATACTTATTGATCCATCTCTTCTGTTCTTCATTTCATCCAGCAATTCTTTGAGGAGTGCAGGGGTCATGATTCTCATTTAACAAATAGGATTTATATTTGAACTGCTTGAAATTATCTATCTGGTAAAGGTTGAGTCAGGATTCAAACTCTTCTGACTCTCAGCAAATAGTGAGCCTTGCAAACTTTGAAGTAGAAAGCACTAATTCCTACCAGCCTGGTGATTATATTTTAGTCCCTTCCCATTGGCTAATACACATTTTTTTCTTTCTATTATGTTAGGCCTATATGTTCAGTTCAGCCCATTGACTTGAACTTTGTGGATGAACCATCAGAAAATGGTGCAACAAACAAGATTGAGATTAGCATGGACTGTATCCGCATGCAAGACTCGGACCTCAGTGACCCCATGTGGGTGAGTGGCCTGGGTTTCCTCTTTAATCAGTAGGCCATGCTTTACTCAATTCTATAAATCCTGTTTTTTAAAGGCATCTAAAGAGGTAGATCTGAATAGAACATTGGAAAGAACTAATCTATTCAGCCAAGACATGATTAGTAGTAGTTTGTGGATTCTGGGTCTGCATAACTCTTTACAATGTGTGGGGAGGAGGTTGGAAAGAATCCTTTGTATATTTTATGAGTTGTTCCTAATGTCAATCCCAACTTAGAGCAGATGAGACTACTCAAGATTTACCAGAGGGTAGAGACAGCATCTAGATCTAATCCGAGGGTACTTTCCACTATAGCAAACAACCTTTCTCATTGGAATTTTTTTTTTTTTTTTTTTTTTTGGTATTGGGGATTGAGTGATTAAAAAGGAGAAAGTCAATTCTATGCATAAACAGATATTTAATTACCTGGTAACAGAATAAGAAGAAACAAGATAACTGAGATAAAGATAGGCTTTTCCTGGATTTACAACTGAGTCACTCATAACCTTAGGCCTCGGTTTCTCATTTATGAAATATCTTAAATGTCACATAACTCCCAGACAAGCTAAGGAATATAATGGGTTAATGATAACAAAATACTTTTCTGAGATGTGTAAGTGATTTAGATGAAATTGACTACATTTATGCAGTAAGAGTGATAGTGGATTTTCTTCTCTTTTAAAAATCATTTATTTATAATATAAATCCTGCTCTTAAAATTTCTATAAAAACAGGGGAAAGAGCTAGGAAAGAGTGTGGAGTGTCCTAAAGTGCCTATTGACATAGTTAATGAGAATGTCTTAGAAAATGCCTTGTATTTTTTACTCAGTATAAGATTTTATTGGAATTTTCACTATACACCATTTTGGGGGCATAGAATGTACTTCTTAATATTGGGAAAAAGTGAAGTGGAAAAAAGTGAAGTGGAAAAAGGAAAGAGGAAACAACCAAACATAGAAAGCAGTAACATAACTCTACAAATACAGTGGTGTTTTGTTGCTAAGTTCATGTAGGAAAGATGCATTATGTCATTGGCCCTTTTCATTTCAATACAGATTTGTTCCCAGTTATCTTTGGACTACTGAAGTTGTCAGATAATTCCAAGTGTTAGGTCACTTGGGGTCTTGGATGCATTATAAGTGAACATGAAGATGTGTAAACTCTTATTTGACTGACAGTAACTTAAAATTAGGATATTCTCAGTTCACATAAAATATTGAATTTTGTCTTTGTATTTTCTGTTGAGATTTTCCACTGTTACTGTTGGATTCATAGAAGTAGGTAAAGACTTATAAGTTTAAAGTGGAGGATCACAAGCATTTAAGGTTCTATTTCTATTATTATTATCTTTTTACATACTGAATCATGTGGTTTCTTAAAGTGTCATGCTGTTTTTAACTTCTTTGTATTCTTGGAAATATTCTCCCTGAAAATACCATTTCCATTTTTTTTTTCTCCTCTCCATCCAATTATTATCTGTCCTTCATGGTCCTATTCGTCCTCCTTCTCTGTGAATCACTTTCATATACATTCCAACCAGTCTGAATTGTTTCTTTCTCTGTTTCTAAAGGTCAGGGGCCATATTTCATCATGCCTAGTGCTTGAGGTTATATAGTAGGTCCCTATAATAGGGAATTCCGAAACAGCTGGAAAAAATGAACTAGGGTGAAGGAAACAAAATAGGCCCCTTGGGGCAATGGTATGTAAAGGTGTATGAAATTACAGCAAGAATGAACTTGACTGAAAAGAGGAGCTTGCCTATCTGTGGTGGCCCTGATTTTGTCTCCAAAGAACTGAGACATTTCTTCTATGTGAATCCTGGGTCTTCCCTTGACTTAGAACTCTTTAATATCTTCATATCGTATGTATCTACATGTTACCATCACAGAGATGGGGCTAGGTCATAATAGTCCTCAGCAGCAGAAGAAGTAAAAGTCTAGACTTGCTCAAGATACTATTAATTAGTTTTACTGTTTGTAAATTAAAAGCCACCTTTTTCCTTATCATTCTAGCCTGTTGCTACAAAGGATGTGAGGATTTTTTTTCTTCCATTACTTAATAGCAGATTTTCACTTTTCTGTGTACACTTGCTAAATAGTTTCCAAAATCTGCACATGAATTAATTTCCTCATCAGTATAACATTTTATTAAGTTGAGAATCTCAGCCAAGCATTCTCTTCCTATGCAAGAAATTCAGCCCTTGGACATGAAAAGACGTGTCAGCTTATTAATGACAGAAATATTGACATTGGGAAATTCATTCCATTTTGTGTTGATTTTTCATATAAACTTTACCTTAATAACTAGTCATGATGGAATCACAAATGTTTTATTCTGATTAACAAGGGAGAGTTGAAATGAATTATAGGGAATTTTCTTTGTGTCTTGTTCTATGTCACTGAAAACGAAATTCTTGGGGACAGTAAACAAAGGTGTCTCAAACAATCCTATTTTAATTTATCTTTTCAAGATTTTGTTGGTTTTTGAGTCTATCACCTAATAAATTACTTTATATCTCAGCTTTATATTACTTGTAATATGTGTAAGCCTGACTATCCTATCTTCAAAAGGTGAACAACTTGAAATGATTGGTACTGGCCACATTACTCTTAATTTTTGCATTTGTATATTTCCTGCACATGGAGGAAAACCTTTTAAAACATGTTAGATTTTTCCCTAGGAAGTTGAGTGGTAATTATCTAACATGATCTATTTTTGCAAATTCTTGTTGCATGATTCCACATAAATGTGAAGGGCCTTCACTTCTATATATCAACAGGTCAATAACCAGATATCTGGAAAGGCTTAGGCTGTAGCACCTAGCATAATACCCTGCCACTTAAATGACACAAAATTTACATGATTTCAGTCGTGCATACTGGTGTAACCACAGTAACTATTTAGAACTTACTATATGCTGTGATGTTTATGTGCAGATGAAAAAATCATAGTCTCTTACTTTACAAAGGCAGGAATGCAGCATTAAAGGCAAATGTGAATAAAATTCCCTACAAAAGCTACTCAGATATATGTGTATATTAAAAAGACACATTAAAAAGTAATGAGTTAGTCTACCAGAGAAAGAATGGCAATAGTTTAAAGAGATGGTGATTTGTATTTAGACCTTGAAATATGACTAAAATTGATCAAAATTGGAAAGGGGAAAAGTAGTCCAAATGTGATAACTATTGTTATAAAAACATATAATGTGAAGCTTGGAAGTTTTAAAAGATAAGACTGAAAAAAATCTGGCTAAAAATTTTATATGTAAAAATAATATAAATTTTAAAAATTACAATTAATGATAAAGGTTTAACAACCCTAATAAAATGAATGCTTAAAAATTAACAAGGAATTTGAATTTCCCCCATAGGCAATGGGTATAGGTAATTTACACATGATGAACATACAAAGGTTAAATGGACATAATATTTCCAACTTCTCAACTAATAAAAATTGTGTGGGTTGAAACAATGACATATTTATCATATGTCTCTGATCAACAAAGGTTTAGATGATAATAGTTAATGCTGGTGAGTTTGCTGAAAAATAGTCTTTTCATTCTTGGTGGGAGCATAAATTGATATATTGGAGGGTAATTTGTCCATTCTAATTTATTTAATTTTTAAGAAACCTCCCTTTGGCCATTAAGTTCCAGTCCTAGGTATTTATTCCATAAAACAACTAAGATATAAAGGACACGCTCAAACACACATATGCTTATATGCATGGACTCAAATGAGCATGCCACACACACAGAGAAATGAAAGTTTTGCTGAAGCACCATCTGTAGTAACTAAAATGATGTGACAAAATTCTGTTTTAGATTCCAGAGCTTCAGACTTTGAAAGATAGGTGAAAAAACCACGGTTCAAAGCAAGTGTCAATCCCACCGTTGAGAGATGATATTAGTAATGATTTGTAGTCATTTTAATCCTAGAGATCCTATTCTTCATGTTCTATAGTGTGATTTCTGTATTTCTATTTTGAGTGAAGTATCTTTTTTTTTTCTTTTTTTTTCTTTTTTTAGATTGTGTAATGTTAATATTTATTTATTTGTTTTTCACATTTGATGAAATTCACCAAACAGTCTGGGCTTAAGATTTCTTTTGAGGGAGCTCAGTTTCCTTTTTTGTTGTTGTTTGTTTGGTATTGAACACAGGGGTGCTTAACCACTAAGACACATCCCCAGCCCTTTTTTATATTTTATTTAGAGACGGGGTTTTGCTAGGTTGCTAAGTGCCTCACTAATCTGCTGGCTGGCTTTGAACTCATGATTCTCCTGCCTCAGCCTCCTTCATTGCTGGGACTCACCATTGTACCTGGCATGAATTTAGTTTCTTTAATAGTATAGGACTGTATTGAGATTATTTATCTTGGGTGAGTTTTGATAAGTTGTGACTTTTGAGAAATCAATTAATCAGAGTTGTTAATGCATGTCCATATAATTATTTGGAATTTTCCTTTCTGATCCCTTTAATGTCTGTAAGATCTATAAGGATATTACCTATTTTCATTTCTTATGTTAGTAACCTGCCTTTTCTTTGCCAGTCTTACCAGAGATTCATCAATTTCATTTATCTTTTAGGATACCTTAGATTTTTATTTCACTTTTCTTCTCTGTTGTTTTTCTTTTTTCAATTCATTATTTCTGATCAGATTTCCTAACCTCCTTTGGACTTATTGGGATCTTCTTTTTCAACTTCTTAAATTAGAATTTTATATTTTTGAAATTTTTCTTCTTTCTCACAAAGTTTAACATTGATTTCAAGAAAGTTTCCATTAGACGCTGCTTTAGCTGTTTCGAATAAACATTGATACTCTGAATTTTCAGTTTTGTTCATTTTAAAATATTTTCTAATTTTTGTGGAGAATTCTATTTCGACCCATTAATATTTAGAAGCATGTCATTTAATTTCTGAGCATTTGGACATTTTTCTGTTATCTTTCCATACTAACATACTTTGCTTTCATTATGATCAGA